CGTGGCCAGGTCGTCGAAGGTGGTCGTCCGATGACCCTGCGGAGGGAAGGGGCCTCGGGGGTGCGCCTGGGCCGCCGTTGATCTTGGGGCTCTGGCCATCAGCGTTTTCAGGGACGCTTCCGAGACCATGACAAACATGAAGCGCACCTTCCAGGGATCCAGAGCTGGTCGATTCAACACGTGGCGCCTCTGCAACGCCATGTGGTCGAGCTCCTCCTGTCCCTTGACCCTCGCCCCGAACGTCTTCGGCACCGCTGGGGCCTTCGGGGGCCGCTGCGAAGGACGGCGGGGACCTGGCGATCCTTCGCTGCTCCGGTCGCTCGGCGTTGGGGTCCTTGCGCCCGATCAGCCGCTTGCTCTCCGCCCCCGCGCCCAGCAGCACGGCGTCGCGCGCCCGGTCCGCCCTCGTGGACGACAGAGCGTCCTCTGCGCCAGCGCCGGCCTCCGCGCGCCGCAGGCGGGGCACTTCCCGGGTCGACCCTGTGCGCGTGGCCTCCCGGAGCGCTGCGCGGAGTGCTGCCCGGCGCGCGATCGCGGGGGTCGGCCGTCCATGGCCCTGGCCCTGTCGGTGATGGCGAGGAGCCTGGCCCTGTCCTCCTCCTTCCTCTTCCTCCTCCTCCTCCTCCTCCTCCTCCTCCTCTTCCCCCTCCTCCTTCTCCTCCTCCTCCTCCTCCTCCTCCTCCTCCTCCTCCTCCCCTCCTCCTCCTCCTCCTCCTCCTCCCCTCCCCCTCCTCCTCCTCCTCCTTCCTCCTCCTCCTCCTCCTCCTCCTCCTGTTCCTCCTCCTCTTCCTCCTCCTCCTCCTCCTTCTCCTCCCTCCTCCTCCTCCTCCTCCTCCTCCTCCCCCCTCCCCCTCCTCCTCCTCCTCCTCCTCCTCCTGTTTCCTCCTCCTCTCTCCTCCTCCTCCTCCTCCTCCTCCTCTCCTTCTCCTCCTCCTCCTCCTCTCCTCCTCCTCCTCCTCCTCCTCCTCCTCCTCCTCCTCCTCCTCCTCCTCCTCCTCCTCCTCCTCCTCCTCCTCCTCCTCCTCCTCCTCCTCCTCCTGGCCCTCGGCTTCACCGCGCCGATGCCGCGCTCCGCTCGGCCATCCGAGCCGGGTCTCGAAGCCCGCCGTCGACGTAACGTTCAGCGCTAGGAGGTCTCTTCGCCTCGGCATGCCGCTTGGTCTGGTCCCCCGTGAGGTTCCCAGCACAGTCGCCATGGATGCGCGCATCCATGGCGACCGTGCTGGAATTGGCCTCCTCGACCTCCGTCCGCAGCTGCGCAAGGATCGGCTCGATAGCGTGAATGCAGCTCGCGGCCTCGAGGTTCTCCAGCGGCGCGCAGAAGCACCACGTCTTCGAGATCATGCCGCTCTCGTCCTTGCCCTCGTCGTTGGCTGCGATGCTGTGGTCGCCGCCCGGAGAGAGATTCTCCTGTTGTTCTCGGGCGGTTCGGGTTTTGGCCTGCCTGGCCCGGCGGAAGAGGAGGATGAGGAGGAGGAGGACGAGAAGGGGGGTGAGGAGGAGGAGGAAGAGGAGTAGGAGGAAGAGTAAAACACATGCCAATCATAAACTAGCACTATGAATACGGAGGGATGATAGCAAAACTACTACGAAGTTTAATACTAATAGTTGGAATAGAGAATAATTCGAATCATACGGATCAGAAAAATGAGGATGATGATGAGGAGGAGGATATCTGACGATCATAATGGTAGTATTGATAATGAAATAGAGAATGAGACGACGAATACTAATACTAGTAACCATAATAACATGACTGATAATAATCATAACAATAAAAAATCAATAACAATACTAATACTCGTGCGAATAGTGATAACAATAACCAGACTGCAGCAGTGTTTGTTGATGTCTACGATTATCTTGCTGATCATGTTCGATGGTGTATTCTACGACATGTTCCGTCGCTCCGTTTCTAACTCGCCAACTCGTCAACAAGGGTGTCGGCGAACGCTCGCCGTCTTCTGCTGAAACATGCTGCTGCCATGCAGCTTCGTAGTGTTGATCGTTTCTCAGATTTCTCGGCCACTTCATGTTCTTTCTCAGCGCTCGCTTGCCCGTTTCCGTCCTCGTGCCCATCATGTTGTCATACATTATGTCGCTACGTTATGAGTCGTGAGCGTCAACAGATCGAAAGCGGAGCGTAATTGGAGCGTGCTCGGAGCGTGTTGGGAGCGTAATCCGAGCGTTATCGGAGCGTCTGGACATTACCACCATCGCCATCGGCATCTCCATCCTCCTCCTACCCAGCTGCCCTCCCATGCGGGGTGCTGGGCTCCACAGGCGCCGCGGGAGACTCGGCCAGTGCAGAGTCGAAGAGCGAGCGCGCGGGAGCCACCATACGTCTCTTCGCGTTCGTCGCTGTGTCTCTACTCCTCTCGCACGGCACAGGGCGTCTTTCCCCTCTCCTCGTGAGGCTCGGCCAGTCCGCCTTGTTTTCTTCGTCTTCGTCTCCCTCCACTCCTTCTCTTTTCCTCGCCTCCCCTCCTCCTCCTTCCCCTCGTTGGCTCGGTGTTCTGCCTGGGCCCCACCTCAGGGCGGCTGATCCCGCAACCTCAGGGCGGTTGATCCCGCGGCGAGACCAGAGTTCACGACTCGCTTACTTGCGTCGCGGTCTTTACCTCTCTTTCCCAACCATCCTGTGGTATTGGGTCCTTGTTTTGAAGAGACAGCGACCCTTGTCCCTCCCTCCCTCCCGCTCCACCGAAGGCTCCATTGGCTGCACCCGCATGCGTCTCCCCCACCCAGTACAGCGTTTCGTGGCCCCATAGGGAGCTCCACCGACGGTCCCAGTGGCTGCACTCGCATGCGTCTCCCCCGCCCAGTACAGCGCTTCGTGGTCCCACAGGGAGCTCCACCGAAGGCCCCACTGGCTGCACTCGCATGCGTCCCCCCCGCCAAGCACAGTGTTTCGTTGCCGCACATGGAGCTCCACCGAAGGCCCCAGTGGCTGCACTCGCATGCGTGTCCCCCGCCCAGAACAACGCTTCGTGGCTCCACAGGGAGCTCCACCGAATGCCCCAATGGACCCGTTCACATGCGTCTCCCCCGCCCCGTACAGCGCTTCGTGGCCCCATAGGGAGCTCAATTGGAGGCCTCAAAGGCACAGCCCACATGCGTCTCCCCACCCAGTACCGCGTTTAGTGGCCCGATAGGAAGCTCCACCGAAGGCCCCAGTAGCAAGGTCTACATGCGTTCCCCCAGCCAGTGCAGCGTTTCGCGGCCCCATAGGGAGCTCAACCGAAGGCCCCAGTGGAACCGTTCACATGCGTCTCCCCCGCCCAGTACAACGTTTCGTTGCCCCATAGGGGGCTCCACCGTTGGCCCCAATGGACCCGTTCACATGCGTCTCCCCCGCCCAGTACAGCGCTTCGTGGCTCCGTAGGGATCCCCACCGAAGGCCCCAGTTGCAAAGTTCGTATGCGTCTCGCCCACCCAGTACAGCGCTTCGTGGCCCCATAGGAGGCTCCACCGAAGACGATACCCACAGCTGCGGTACTCACAGCTGCATATGCTTGGGTCCTTCGCCAGGCTCATTTGAGGATCCTCTGCCTCCCACGTCAAGGAGGTTCGAAATTTTTGGTTGCCTTTGCGAGCTGTTGGTCCTTTTGGCTTTCTCGTGTCATCGTCTGGCGCGAGTCGCGTGCCTTCGGAGGCCCTCCAGAGACCTCGCAGGCCTCTACCATCTATCAGTCTCCATCTCTCGTTCTCTCCCACTCGCGCGTTGCTTCGTCTTCCGCCTTCAGCTTCCCCTCTCATGCCATCCATATTGTATTTTTGCCAAGTCATCGCGATAGCAGGCGGTGCTTGAATGACCAGGGCCGCATTGAGTAACATGTCTCTCCTTGCCGATCTTACCTCTCATGTCAGGCTTTTGCATTGGTGCGTTTCTCCTACGCTCCCTCCCGCCTCTCTCATTCCGAGGCTTCCGTCCTCTCCTCCCTCTCCGGATTGTCCCTCCTTGCTGCTTCCTTCCCGCCCTGCCCCTCTCTCCAGCCCCCCGCCGCGCCCCCGCAGGCTGGCAGCGGCGCCCCAGGCGCTGCGGCGCGGCCAAAGGCGCAGCTGCCACGGGGCGGGCAGGAGACTCCGCTTCCCTGCCTGCCCGTGTGGTGGTCCCCTCTTCATCCGATGCCAGCTCCCGTGTTGCCGGCTCGGATCCCTACTGCGCCCCGCCGCCGCCAGGCTCCGGCGCAGCAGCCGCTGCCTACCCCGCCGCGCCACTCGCTCCGGGTGTGACCCGTCCCCCTGAGCGGCCCTCGCTCCCTGTCTCCTCCTTCGGCCGCCCTCCCTGTCTCCTCCCATTGTGCTGCATGGCGGCACAGTTACAGTTGGCGTCAACGGTGTCCCCGTTGTGATTGCTCCTCCGCCAGCGCAGTTCCTCTGCCCAGCCGCCGGCGCAGCAAAAGATTACCGGCTCCGGCTCGTGCGTGCTCTTTTCGTGCGGCGGCACGCGGCACCGACTTCGCCCCCCAATGCCGGCCGGCCTGTGGCACGATCTCTTATTCTCGTGCTGGCGTCCCAGCGCTCACGCGCAGCACCCGCGCAGATGCCTCCATGCGGGGCTGTGCTTTGCTGTGAGGGGAGTCCCAGACGCGGAGAAGAACGAGAGAGGAGGAGGTGAGGAGCCAGGAGGATGAGGAAGAAAGGAAGGCAGGAAGGAAAGAAGGAAAGAGGGACGGAAGAGGAGGAAAAGGAGGAGGAGGAGGAGGAGGAGGAGGAGGAGGAGGAGGAGGAGGAGGAGGGAGAGGAGGAAGAGGAAGGAGGAGCAGGAGGAGGAGGAGGAGGAGGAGGAGGAGAGGAGGTGGAGGAGGAGGAGGAGGAGGAGGAGGAGGGAGGAGGAGGAGGACGAGGTGCAACGAGGGCCCAGCATAGGAGGCTTGTGCACCCCTTTCGAGCTCACCTCAAGCTTGAGCTGGCGCCCGCGACTTCTGCTGCGCCTTCTGCTGCGCCCCGCGAGGACGAACCGAAAACCTCACTCCTCTGTTCCGCCGCGCGAGGAGGGACCCCCCCAGGGCCGACGCGGGGGCGCGACGGCGGCCCAGCGGGCGCAGCAGCCACCGGACGCGGCGGCGAGCATGGCGCGCGCTCGCCGCCCAGCACAGGTGACAACGCAGGAGGGTGCTCCTTTCGTCGGGCACTGGAGCATATACATCACCAGTGGCGGGCAGTGTTACCTTTTTTTCCCCAGTGTCCCGGGGAAGCAGCGAAGCGTGTATACACCATGGTCCCGTATACGCCAGGATCCGCTCTCCAGTGCGCATTTCAATGCAGGGCCGGGAAATGCGTCGGTGTATAGAGTTCGATCCCCTACCTTTTCCATGCGTGAGGAGGCAATCCCGTTCGTCGTTGCTTCGGGTGACGAGCTTGCGCCCACAGCCTCCGCAGGACGCCACGGGTCCCCCGTGGAAGCTAGGCTGCCATACTGAAGCGAAGCGGCCAACAATAGTGAACTTAGAGACTAGCTTGGGCTACATGAGCGCTTTCAACCCCTCGCGAAACCCTCTTCATGACCCCAGGGTACCGCCCTGGAGCATGCAGCACTGTCTTCTATTACGTATGAGTGGTGTTGCGGATGCGTTGTCACGTGCAAGCAGGTGAAGCGTGTTATTGGGAGTCCATTTGGCAAATCGTGTATGTTTATGAATTCAAGTGCGGATTTGGATGAGGACTGTTGCAAGCGGGTGGCCCGCGTTGTATTATTTGGCAGGGGTGGTTCTCGTTTAGCGCGCGCATTTGGCCGGACTGGTATTCATTCAGAGCGAATGTGCATAGGGCGGGCATTAGCTGCTATAGTGGCTACGATGCCATCGTAATTTTTATTGTTTTATGGGTTGTGTGTTTATGGCTTGCGCCCTATGATGGCTTCAAGGTTGTTGTTTCTGTCGCTCTTGCCCTGGTGCACCACGACACATTGCAGTCCGTAGTATTGCATTACGTAAATCGCACCCCACACGGTACCACCACATAGCTTGTCCCAGGTACATTGCACGACCCAGTTTGCTCATCGGGTGTGCTGGAACCTACAGGTCGGGGTCCGCTCCAGCAGTCATTTCTTGTTGTTGCATTATGATCCCGAGTGAGCAACTTCTGATGTTACTTTCTGGGTCAACGTTGCGCGATACTGCATGTCGTGGCATGCAAGATGCATTCTGAGACAGCGTAGGTCAATCATTCAACACCCTTGAAAGAGCGTGTTCTACCGCTGCTGGCGGAAAACCCGGGGGGTCACTACCGGTGCGAACCCCTCCCTCCCCCCCCTCCGGACAACCGGGGTTGGTCACTACCGGTTCGAACCCCTCCCCCCCCAGTTCATCATGAAAAGGGCGGGGGGTCACTACCGGTTCGACCCCCCCCCCCCTCGAAAACCGGGGGGGGTCACTACAGGTTCGACCCCCCCCCCTCCTGGGGTGCGGACAGTGGTGGGGACGGTGGTGGTGGGGACAGTGGTGAGGGGACAGCGGGACAGTGGTGGGGACAGTGGGACAGTGGTGGGGACTAGTGGTGGGGACAGTGGTGAGGACAATGGTGGGGACAGTGGACAGTGGTGGGGACGGTGGTGGTGGGGACAGTGGTGTGGGGACAGGGGGAGGTGGAAACAGTGGGACAGTGGAGGGTACAGTGGTGGTGGGACAGTGGTGAAGGCGGTGGCGAGGACGGCGGTGGGACAATGGAACAGAGGTACAGTGGGGACAGTGGTGGGGACAGTGGGGACAGTGGTGGGAACAGTGGGACAGCTCAGTGGGACAGCGGAGGAGTCAGTGGGACAGTGGGGACAGTGGGGATAGTCGGGCAGTGGTTGGGGCCGTGGAGAAAGTGGGGAGAGTGGAACCGTGGTGGGAACAGTGGTGGGGACAGTGGGGACAGTGCGACAGTGGTGGGAGCACTGGTGGGGACAGTAGGGACGGTGGTGGAACTAGTGGGGACAGTGGTGGTGAGGATAGTGGTGCTGGGAACAACAGTGGGGGATGTGGCGCGGACGGTGGTAGGGACCGAGAGTCGTTTGCTGGCGGTGAGTGGGGGGGTGGGGAGGGGTTCGAACCGGTAGTGACCCCCCCTCCGGTTTTCGAGGGGGGGGGGGGTTCGAACCGGTAGTGACCCCACCCGGTTTTCGAGGGGAAGGGGGGGGGTAGGAGGGGTTAGGGGAGGGGGGGGTTTTGTCGGGGGAGCGAAGGGGGGGGGGTCCAGCAGGTGTACCTCGTATAGCTCTTCGGCAAGATGAGCTGAGAGGAATTCGGGCGCAGGGTGGAGCTAGTTGGCCGACCCGACCTTAAGAGACAATGTGGTAACTTTGGGTCGGTTTTGCAATCTTGGTGCCAAATTTTGAAGTTCGTTTTCGGAACCGGTTTTTTTCTCACCTGTAGTGGGTTGTGCCGCGTCTGCCAGTGAATTCTCAGGTCCGTAGCTGCAAAATTACTATCGAAAGACTTGAGGGAACCGTCGGCCGTTTTCCGCATCTTGACACGCGTCGACAGTTGTCTGTCCCTCTCAAGATTTAGGAGAGGTATAGAGCTGCTACTTACAGAAACCGATTCAGAATCATCAGGCGAGTTTGTCTGTTCGATCGAGAGGTCTGAACTCGATCTGCTACTCGAGCTAGATGCTCGAAACTATTCGTATTATACGAGTGATCTGAGAGCTGTCGGTTCCCTAGCTCACGCGTGAGAAAGCTTCCCCCATGTGTTCCAAGCAGCGTCGTGCAGACAAGAGCTCTACGAGGCTCCCGGCGGTAACCTGGTTGACGGTTTACCGCCGGCTCCCAGTCCGCATGCGGTTCCCCCACCCAGGGCAGCGTTTCATGGCCCCATAGGGAGCTCCACCGAAGGCCCCAGTGAGGGTGTTCGCATGCGGTTCCCCGACCCAGAGGTAGCGCCACCGAAAACGATATTCAGATTTGCAGTATTCACAACTGTATATGGTTGGGTCCTTCGCGAGGCTAATTTTATGTCCCAACATCCTTCGCTTTCGGAACAGATTTGGAGGATTTCTCGAGCGAGGCGCTCATTTTCACGTCCCTAAGGGAAACCGCTGAGGGGTGTTGCATGGTCCCGTTCGCGGCCGTTTTGTGGGGATGTCTCAAGCGGTTTGCTTGTTTTCTGTCCCAACATCCTTCGCTTTCTGAGCAGATTTGGAGGATGTCTCGAGCGAGGCGCTCATTTTCACGTCTCTAAGGGAAACCGCTGAGGGGTGTTGCGCGGTCCCGTTCGCGGCCGTTTTGTGGGGATGTCTCAAGCGGTTTGCTTGTTTTCTGTCCCAACATCCTTCGCTTTCTGAGCAGATTTGGAGGATGTCTCGAGCGAGGCGCTCATTTTCACGTCTCTAAGGGAAACCGCTGAGGGGTGTTGCGCGGTCCCGTTCGCGGCCGTTTTGTGGGGATGTCTCAAGCGGTTTGCTTGTTTTCTGTCCCAACATCCTTCGCTTTCTGAGCAGATTTGGAGGATGTCTCGAGCGAGGCGCTCATTTTCACGTCTCTAAGGGAAACCGCTGAGGGGTGTTGCGCGGTCCCGTTCGCGGCCGTTTTGTGGGGATGTCTCAAGCGGTTTGCTTGTTTTCTGTCCCAACATCCTTCGCTTTCTGAGCAGATTTGGAGGATGTCTCGAGCGAGGCGCTCATTTTCACCCCCCTGAGGCCAGATTTTGAGGATGTCTCGATCGGTGGCTAGACTCGTGGGCACAGATTCTCTTCAGGATGCCACAGGAGGCTCCAACAGGCCCCAGGATGTCCCAGGAGACCACATGAGGTCCCAGGAGGCATCAGGAGGCCACAGAAAGATTCAAGAGGCCACAGGATGTCCCAATAGGAGGCCCCAGGAAGCTCCGGGAGGCCTCAGAAAGCCACAGGAGGCCCCAGGAGCAGGAGGCCTCAGAAGGCGACAGGAGTGGCTCCCATCCCATGTGTGTTGACGTATGCTCCTATAGAATGGGCCTCACCTGGAGCACGAATCCTTGATGTATACGTATGTTTCTATAGATTGTCCTTTTTCTGTGTACTTATGTTCCTATAGGGCCTCTCCTGGGGCACGAGTCCTTGGTGTTTCACGTGTGTTCCTATAGATTGCCCCCTTCTCCTGTGGCTCCAATCCGCAATATTTTATGTACGTCTGTTGCTATAGATTGGGCCTCTCCTGGGGCACGAATCCTCCCTAGGAGGTCCCAGGAGGCCCCAGGAGGCCCGAAGAAGCTCCTGGAGGCCCCAGGAAGCCCCAGTAGGTTTCATGAGGCCCCAGGAGGCCCCAGGAGGACCCAGGCTCATGCGCAGAGACGCGCTCGTACTACTGAGGCTCATTCACACTCCAATTCATTCTGAATTAGATTCATGACCAGACCGTCACAACTGAAGCCCGTTTATATTCGAAAGCTCTTGCGCCTAGACATTCACTGCGGACAGGTCCATGCGAATAGACACAAGCCTACTCATACTCAGACCTACTCATACTCAGATCTACTCCTACTCAGACTTACTCATGCTGAGACTCACTCATACCCAGACTAACTCATACTCAGAATTGCGGGGCGCTGGTTTCAGCACCCCTAATGGGAGCCGCCAGGGGTGATTTCACGGTCCCGTTCGCGGCCGTTTTGTGGGGATGTCTCAAGCGGTTTGATTGTTTTCTGTCTCAACATCCTTGGCTACCAGAGTAGATTGTGCGGATGTCTCAGGCGGGGCGCTGGTTTCAGCACCCCTAGGGGGAGCCGCCAAGGGTGTTTTCAAGGCTCTGTTCGTGGCCGTTCTGTGGGGATGTCTCAACATGATATTCGTATGTTGCCTTGCATGGCTAGACGCGTATTCCCAGATCCCACTGACAGTTGTCCTTTTAAAAAGATGCACATATGGGGATCTCCACGCAATGAGCAATTATCACCTGTGAATGTGGCGTCGACCAGCCACTTATGTTGGCAGCGTGCGGAGCTGCGTCGTCGCTTGGCCCATGCGGAGTCACGGCTCCTTCCGATACGACTCCCCATATTGTGTAATCGAGGCTGGTTTCTTTGGTATCCAGGGCCGGTCGAATGCTCGAGTTAGTTGCCCGCAAGCTGGGTCGGTGGTCCAGTGAGTCTTAGAGCTCCTGCTGAAGAACGGGGGGGCCGAGTGCAACTTCAGGCAATGACTCACGGCCGTGAGACCTCTCCCGCTTGTGCCCTTCGGCATTTCTGTCTGCCCGTGCGCGTGTGGTGTTGGATCCTCGATCCTCGATCCCAAGTCGAAGATGCTCGAATTCGGAGTCGATACTAATCTGCCTGCTAAATCTGCCTGTCTGGACTTCCCTCGGGCGGTGTCTGCGCTGTGGGAAGCGACGCCCGCGCCAGGCCGCGGGCATGCCGCAACAGGGGCAGCTGGCGGCGTCGCAAGCGGTGGGCGCCCCGCGCCCCGCCTCTTCCTCGTCCTCCTCTGGATCGAGGCCGCCACTTCTGCGTGGCAGTGGTGGCCCTGGGGTAGAGCCCTGCTCCAGAGATGCGGCTTTTACTCACTTGGAGTGCATACAGTCGGCCTGGATTAGTAGGTCGACCCTGCCAAGTCAAGGGTACCTTTGTGTCCTGTGTCTCGCGACCCGTGCCTCCTGCATTCCTATGGCAATGTGGCCCCCGGAAGGGTCTTTTGTCCTCTCGCGTGTCCTGTTGAAGTCCGACTGTAGTGGTGGCCCTGGGGTAGAGCCTGGCTCCAGAGATGCTGCTTTTCCTCACTTGGAGTGCGTACGACGACGAATTGTTGTGATTTCGCGTCTCCCACTTCTCCTCCCCTCTCCAGAAGTTGCGCGGGGAACGCAGCACACATGCACGCACGCACGCACTTGTTTGCCTGCGACCGCGCGGGCAGCGACGCGGTGGTCAATTCGGGCAGGACAGCGGTCAAGACTGAGCAAGTGGCGTGGGCGGAACGGCAGCCGCCCAATTCAGTGCAGGACAAACACGACAATCGACTGCAATGGCAAGGAAGGCCACGGAAAGCAAGTAGCCAGAACGAGGGTCATAGTTCAGCAATCTTCAGAACTCTTCAGAGCACACCAAGGAGCAATAGCATGCACATCTAAACTTACCAGAAGCAATGCTGTTCACAACATTCTCAAGCTCCCAAGCTCCCGAACTCATGACAACCATTTTGCGAACATCATGCGATTCATCTTTATGGCCGACGCAGAATCAGCAACACCATACATTTCGCATTTTTTCAACAATCTCCCAAATTCACACTGGTCCTTTCTAACACATACAGAGATTTAGATTTCCTGCGCCCACAGCTTCCACAATATCCAATTGATGCGAGCATATTCGTGGCTAATTTTTTTCCCCACATCCTAAGTTGGGTTCTTGTTTTCTCTGCACACCCTCCGCGCAGGATCTCCTCCTCCTCCTCCCTCTCCTCTGCTCCTCTTTGCTTCCTCCTCCGTTCCTCCTCCGCATCATCATCACCATCACCATCACTCCCCACTCATCATCATCATCACCATCAGCATCACCATCACCATCGCACGATCACTCACCATCATCGGCACCGAACGATCATCATCATCATCATCATCATCATCATCATCATCATCATCATCATCATCATCATCATCATCATCAGCATCATCATCATCATCATCTACTCGCTGACTTGAGGCCTGAATATGGAGGAAGTATCAGGCGGGAGCCTCGTCTGTGAGTGAATTGTGAGGAAGTCTCAGGCGGGAGCCCCCTCCCTATGGGGCCCGCACTTCATGTTGGTAATCCGAGCGGGTCATCCTGAAACCTGTAACTGTCGTCACTTTTGCGCTCCTGAGGTTTGATTACTGAGGAAGTATCAGGCGGGAGCCTCGTCTGTGAGTGAATTGCGAGGAAGTCTCAGGCGGGAGCCCCCTCCCCTATGGGGCCCTCGCTTCATGTTGGTAACCCGAGCGGGTCATCCGAAACGTGTAACTGTCGTCACTTTTGGGCTCTTGAGGCCTGAATATGGAGGAAGTCTCGAGCGGGAGCCCCGTCTGTGAGTGAATCGCGAGGAAGTCTCAGGCGGGAGCCCCCTCCTTATGGGGCCCGCACTTCATGTTGGTAATCCGAGCGGGTCATCCGCAACGTGCAACTTTCGTCACTTTTGGGTTCTTGAGACCTGAATATGGAGGAAGTCTCGAGCGGGAGCCTCGTCTGTGAGTGAATTGCGAGGAAGTCTCAGGCGGGAGCCCCCTCCCTATGGGGCCCGCACTTCATGTTCGAATCCGAGCGGGTCATCCGAAACGTGTAACTGTCGTCACTCATGGGCTCTTGAGGCCTGAATATGGAGGAAGTCTCGAGCGGGAGCCTCGTCTGTGAGTGAATTGCGAGGAAGTCTCAGGCGGGAGCCCCCTCCCTATGGGGCCCGCACTGCATGTTCGAATCCGAGCGGGTCATCCGCAACGTGCAACTGTCGTCACTTTTGGGCTCTTGAGGCCTGAATATGGACGAAGTCTCGAGCGGGAGCCTCGTCTGTGAGTGAATTGCGAGGAAGCTCAGGCGGGAGCCCCCTCCTTATGGGGCCCGCACTTCATGTTCGAATCCGGGCGGGTCATCCGCAACGTGCAACTGTCGTCACTTTTGGGCTCTTGAGACCTGAATATGGAGGAAGTCTCGAGCGGGAGCCTCGTCTGTGAGTGAATTGCGAGGAAGTCTCAGGCGGGAGCCCCCTTCCTACGGGGCCCGCTTCCCGAGGCGCTGGCCGAGGCGGCGACGGCGCTGAGGAAAATGGATTTGCTTGCCCCGACGAGGGGGAAGGGGAGGTGCACATGGAGAAAAGGCAGGGGGATGAGGAGGGAAGGGGCATGGGGGAGGCAGACGACGAGGAGGAGGTGGCGCGAGAGGAGGAGGTCAGCATCACCATCACCATCGCACGATCACTCACCATCATCGGCACCGAACGATCATCATCATCATCATCATCATCATCATCACCACCACTACTCGCTGACTTGAGGCCTGCATATGGAGGAAGTATCAGGCGGGAGCCTCGTCTGTGAGTGAATTGTGAGGAAGTCTCAAGCTGGAGCCCCCTCCCTATGGGGCCCGCACTTCATGTTGGTAATCCGAGCGGGTCACCCTGAAACCTGTAACTGTCGTCACCTTTGCGCTCCTGAGGTTTGATTGCTGAGGAAGTATCAGGCGGGAGCCTCGTCTGTGAGTGAATTGCGAGGAAGTCTCAGGCGGGAACCCCCTCACTATGGGGCCCGCACTTCATGTTGGTAATCCGAGCGGGTCATCCGAAACGTGTAACTGTCGTCACTTTTGGGCTCTTGAGGCCTGAATATGGAGGAAGTCTCGAGCGGGAGCCTCGTCTGTGAGTGAATTGCGAGGAAGTCTCAGGCGGGAGCCCCCTCCCTATGGGGCTTGCGCTTCATGTTGGTAATCCGAGCGGGTCATCCGAAACGTGTTAACTTTCGTCACTTTTGGGCTCTTGAGGCATGAATATGGAGGAAGTCTCGAGCGGGAGCCTCGTCTGTGAGTGAATTGCGAGGAAGTCTCAGGCGGGAGCCCCCTCCCTATGGGGCCCGCACTTCATGTTGGAATCCGAGCGGGTCATCCGCAACGTGTAACTGTCGTCACTTTTGGGCTCTTGAGGCTGAATATGGAGGAGTCTCGAGCGGGAGCCTCGTCTGTGAGTGAATTGTGAGGAAGTCTCAGGCGGGAGCCCCCTCCCTATGGGGCCCGCACTTCATGTTTGAATCCGAGCGGGTCATCCGCAACGTGCAGCTGTCGTCACTTTTGGGCTCTTGAGGCCTGAATATGGAGGAAGTCTCGAGCGGGAGCCTCGTCTGTGAGTGAATTGCGAGGAAGTCTCAGGCGGGAGCCCCCTCCCTATGGGGCCCGCACTTCATGTTGGTAATCCGAGCGGGTCATCCGCAACGTGCAACTGTCGTCACCCTTGGGCTCTTGAGACCTGAATATGGAGGAAGTCTCGAGCGGGAGCCTCGTCTGTGAGTGAATTGCGAGGAAGTCTCAGGCGGGAACCCCCTCCCTATGGGGCCCGCTTCCCGAGGCGCTGGCCGAGGCGGCGACGGCGCTGAGGAAAATGGATTTGCTTGCCCCGACGAGGGGGAAGGGGAGGTGCACATGGAGAAAAGGCAGGGGGATGAGGAGGGAAGGGGCATGGGGGAGGCCGACGACGAGGAGGAGGTGGCGCGAGAGGAGGAGGAGGAGGAGGAGGAGGAGGAGGAGGAGGAGGAGGAGGAGGAGGAGGGGAGGAGGAGGAGGAGGAGGAGGAGGAGGAGGAGGAGGAGGAGGAGGAGGGAGAGGAGGAGGAGGAGGAGGACGGAGGGGAGGAGGAGGAGTAGGAGGAGGAGGAGGAGGAGGAGGAGGAGGAGGAGGAGGGAGGAGGAGGAGGAGGAGGAGGAGGAGGAGGAGGAGGGAGGAGGAGGAGGAGGAGGAGGAGGAGGAGGAGGAGGAGGAGGAGGAGGAGAGGGAGGAGGAAAGAGGAGGAGGAGGAGGAGGAGGAGAGGAGGAGGAGGTGGAGGAGGAGGAGGGAGGAGGAGGAGGAGGAGGAGGAGGAGGAGAGGAGGAGGAGGAGGAGGCGAGGAGGCGGAGGAGGAGGAGAGAGTCAGGCGGAGGAGGAGGAGGAGGAGGAGTCGGAGGAGGAGAGGAGGAGGAGAGGGAGGAGGAGGAAGGAGGAGGAGGAGGAGGAGGAGAAAGAGGAGGAGGAAGAGAAATAGAAGGGGGAAGTAAGGGCAGTGCAGGGGGCGAGAGGAGAGGGTGTCCGCCAGGGGGAGGAGGAAAGGGCAAAGGGTAAGCTAAACAGATTATCGTGTGGGGTCCTACCGTCGGAGTAATTGGAACGAGCAAGCACGCCCCATGCAACACCAGAAGCATCGTCATGCGTTTCGTGTTCCTCTCAAATTGGCAACGTCAGAAATATACAAATATCAGAACACAGTTTTTCACACAGTCAGTTCACGAAACAACATGTTCATGGCTAGTTTCCAACTGGCATCCACACCACCATCAACATCATGGTTCCTCCGATTCGTTTCACGCAGCTTTCTCGAAGTTGAACGGCCCTTTGCAGTGAAGGTATCCCTTCCAGACATCAAAATTGTCATTGCATTCGTTCATTCGCAATTTCAGTAACGAAACAACATGTGTTCAAATCTTACGCAGGACACGAAACCAGTAACATCATACACCTTGCTGGTTCCACACTACATTCTCGAATTCTCTTGGTTTTTCATTCAAACTACCGAAGCAAACTAAATTAGCGAAATTGCACGGATGTCATATAACCTGATGGCCAGGACTGCGTGGCACATGCACCGCTGTTGGGTTCGTCGCCGCCCTGGGCGATTTCGACCATGAGTGAGTGTGTGGTACCACCTCGAGGACTTGCAGTCCTGCGTGTCGTTGTTCACATCAGGTGAGCATTATTACACCAGAGGAAGAACCCCAATCAGTGGATGGTCTGATGAATCGTGGGATGATAAAGAGATAGACAAGGAGATCGCCTGGGAACTTGGGAACCCAGAGCCCGCCGACATCGGCCCGGAATCAATAACCAGGAACCCGGGAACCGGGAACCCGGGAACCCGGGAACCCAGCCGGCTACCAAGATCGGCGGGAACCTTTTCGCCAAATCTTTGAATTTCCGCCAGGACCCCTTCAGTGCAAGCACTGATTGGGGGGGCATCGGCGTCACCCCAACATATTGATACTGTATGTGCGTCGCCCTCCCAGGGGCGACGCGCGCACTGAGAAATCTTATAGTATATGCGTCGTGGAAGCCCCCCTGCCCTACATTCGGCGCGACTCCGTGGGCGAATTGCGGGGAACCCCTTCACGCTGCTGAAAGCGAGGTTTTCACGGCGTGGAGGAGTTTCCCGAGACGGCTTCAAGCACGCAGTATCAGGAAGTGCCTTCGTGCGTACCCACCCGTTCGGGAACAGGGGGGGGGGGGGCGCTGCGTTGCCGGCGAGAGGGTGCATGTCCGAGGATTGGCCTGGGGCGTGGGGGGCGGGAGGGGCCCGGCGCTTGCAGCGCGGTGGTGGCGGCCGCCCACAGGAGTGGGAGGACGCCAAGCGCGGCCCACCGCGGAGGGGGGCGGCTGGCGCCCGTGGAGGAGGTGCAGCCAGACGCGGGACGGGAGGTTCACCCAGAGTCACCTCCCATGGGCATCGAGGCCGCGTCATCCAGGAAGGGGTCGCGTCCGCCCCGTGCGGGCCGCGGCGCGGAAGGCCGGGCCCGAGAGCCGCTTCTGCGGGGAGGTGCCGGCCAGGCTGGCTGCGTGGTCACCCTCCATCTGGGCTCCTCGACCTTTGCAGCATGAGAGCTCCTTGGCTCCGGCCACGTGGTGGCGGGCGCCCACGGGGTCCGAGGGAGGAGGAGGAGGAGAGGGAGGAGGACCACGAGGAGGAAAGGGACGAGCTCCCCAGGCGGTCGCTGCGGCCATGCTGCAGCAGATGTCCGGGCCGCAGATGGAACAGGCCTGCTGACCCACATGGGCTTGCCCTCTCCTACTACGGTTGGTGTGTTGGAGTGTGTGTGTGTGTGTGTGTGTGTTTGTTTGTTTGTGCGTGAGTGCGTGCGTGCGTATATACATATATATGTGTGTGTGTGCGTGCGTGCGTATGTGTGTGTGTGTGTGTGTGTGTGTGTCTGCGTATGCGTGTTCGCGGCCAGCTGTGCGGGTGCCTTTTCCTGCTGGCGGTTACGTGCCGTCTCGGCGGTTCCTGTCTGGACAGACCCCGCCTCCCCGCCGCGCGGTTCCGCACCGGCGTGCCCGCACCGCCCGTGTGCCGATTGCTTCAGCAGTGGGCGCACCTGGTGGGCCGCTTCCGCGCCCGCACACACCACAGCCGCAGACGCGCCATCGTGCGGTCTCGCCCCCAGGCGAAGCCTTGGTGGTGACGCTCAGCACCCGACGGCGCTGCTCTCCGACCACCCACCCCAGCGGCGCCCGTTTGGCGCCGCCGCCCGCTGCCCCCGCTGCTGCCTGCCGCTCGCTGCCCGCCCTTCCCGCCGGTGACCGCTTACCGTTCGGCGCCGCTGCCCGCTGCTCCCCGATCGCGTGCGCCCGAAATTGTGTGTGTGTGTGTGTGTTTGTGTGTGTGTGTGTGTGTCTTCGTGTCTGCATGGACGCGGCCATTCCTTTGCGTCTCCATCTTGTCCTTCCCCATCGTATCATTCTTCATACTGTCTTGCATCGGTGCTCACCCCCATCCCATCATTCGCACACCTGGGGCCAGAAGCACACTGCCCAGATGGAAGGTTCTGCGCGCGTGGAAGGCGAATCTCCAACGGCGAGGGGAAAGATTTAAGATGTGCTCGTTTTGGGCGTTTCGAGTTGTGAGATTTTCCTGTACTCCTCTGCGGATTTTATTGTCCGTGCTCGCATGAGGTGCGCATTGCAATATTCATGATTGTAAGCTCACTTTGGAGGAGCATGCAACCTCGAATACATCTTGCACGTTAGGTCAGTAATTTGCAGCGGGAGGCGTTGCCAATATAACCGTCGCAGAGTCTGGGGAAGTACCGAGCGTTGTGCGGGTCCTGGAAATCTCGCAGGCGAAGTGCGGTACATGAGTTTGCGGCTTAGTATTGCTACAAGAAGCGCGGCTTCAATTCATCGCCGCTTAGCTCTACTCCTTCGGAGAGGTGCGTATGAACATACACATAATTGTATATATAGAAGGCACACACACACACACGTAGTTATATACATACAGCAGCAACGCAGCAGTCCAGGGCTTTCACAGCCTGGCACCGCCAGAGAGGGCTGACGGATCGGACTCGGACCATGCAGGTGTTGCGAATAGGGTTGCGCTAGCGTGCAATCTGGAGCGAGCTCTTTTCGTTTATCCCGAGGGTGGGATGAAGGCACTCCCGCCCGATCTGTTTCCCGAGCCACCTCGAGGTAGAGTCTGAAAGTCATGGTACGTTCCGCGTGAGTCGCAACGTGCATGCTGTGATCTATCGGACTGAATGCAACCTCGGGGCGAAAACGAGGGCAGGTGTCATTAGCTAAGCAGAATCGCTGTGCGAAGTCCCAAGAGCGAGCTTCTGCTGCCCGTCTTTGAATTTGAGAGTCTGACCGAATATGTACCAGTCGGTCGAAAAAAGACTGTGTGCAAGCCTGGACACAAGCCCGAACAGGCGTGTCATGTACGATCATCGTGGTTATATTCTCAAGACGCAAGGCACTATACAGCTCACGACCCGATACGACACAAGCCGATCGCATGCCAGGTGACGCCGAGCCGATCATCCCTCCGTTTCCTCTGGATTTGGCTGTTCTTTGTTCAACCTGGCTGCGATGATCTCCTTGGATTTGCCTGACCGTGACTACCGACCAGCACTATGTGTACAGCTCAGGGGCAACGAGCGGTGGATAGACATAGGGGGAATGCATCGACCCCCAATCGATCATTGATCGCCAATACGGACCCGATAGCCCCAACCCGCCCATGAAGGTTCGGATTCGTTATCGTAGGCCTATCGCAGATCTATCGGCGATGCATCACCGATTCCAGGTCGATGCATCCCCCCCATATGCCAGCCCCCCCCTATCGTTGCCCCTCAACAGTGGGTCTGGGGCGGCGTGAGCGCTTCGGAGCCTCAGTGTGGCGCGGCGCGCGCAGCACACATTCCATGGTAAGTACTGTGCGAATGTGCGTTTGCGACGCAAGCCGATCGTATGCCGGGTGGCCTCGAGCCGATCATCCACCGTCGTGGGGGCCCGCCGCGAGGGGCCGTCGCGGGGTTCTCTCGAGGGGGCCCCGTCACTGGGGGCCGTCGCGTGGATCGTCGCCCAGAGGCCGCCGCGGGGGCCGCCGTGGGGCGCCGTCGTTGGGAGCCGTCTTGGGGGGGCTCCTCCTCCGCCCTCCTCCCTCCTCCTCCTCCTCCCTCCATCCTCCTCCCTCCTCCTCTTCCTCCTCCTCCTCCTCCTCCTCTTCCTTCTCCTCCTCCTCCTCCTCCTCCTCCTCCTTCTCCTCCCTCCATCCTCCTCCTCCTCCCCCTCCTTCCTCCTCCTTCTCCTCCTCCTCCTCCTCCTCCTCCTCCTCCTCCTCCTCTTGGCCGTCGGGTGGGGGGTCCTGGGGCAGGGGGCCGTAGGGTCGGCGGTCCGGTCGTCCGCCCAGCCGTGCGTGAGCGCTGGGCACGAGTCGGGCGAGGCGTCGGGTAGGGGAGTGTGCCAGGCACCAAGCAGTTCAAGCCACCGTGCAGGTGACCTCGAGCCGATCATCTCTCCGTCCCCTCCTTCCTCTCGCCCGCAGGCCGCGAGGACCCACATGGCGGAGGCCATGCGCTTGAGGGCCATGGCGGAGTGCCTGCAGGCCACTCCGGACGGGAGGTCTGGTTGCGCGGGTGCCTAGGCGTCTACGTAGTCCCCCCGCGGTTCCGATACGCTGCAGTGACGCTCCGATGACGCTCCAGTTACGCTCCCGTTACGCTCCGACTACGTTCCGATTACGCGCTGGTTACGCTCCGATAGCGATCCGATTGCACTCCGACCACGCGCTGATTACGCTCCGATTGCGCTGCGTAACCTCCGAATGGTGCCTGATGGCCGATGCATTGCCGATGCGGCGCGATGTGGAGCCCCATTTTCTTTACCCCAGTGTCGCCGCTGCATCGACAATGCATCGCCGATGGATCGCCAATGCGTCGGCGATGCATCGGGGGTGCGGCGCGATCCTCCGACCCCCTCTACTCGTACCCCATCAGAGAGGCCTCCAGGTTTGCCCTGAGGAGGAGGTTCAGATCGTCCTGCCCGAGGCGCCCCGAGCTGCCACTTTGTTCAGCTTGACTGGACGGGGTCCCTTCCTGTTTGGCAGGAGCTCCTACGCCAATGGTTATGTGGGTTTTCGTCTGGTCGAGTCGGTTGGAGCCCATCCCCCCTTGCTTCTGACAGGGCGCGCGTAGCTGTTTCTGCGTGTTCCCCGCCACCGCCGATCTCCTTCAAAGAAAAGACTCGAGATGCCAGTTGACCGCCGTCTTTCAGATCTGCACTGGGATCTGCGCGTCTTCCGTCCAGCGTCAGTCAGGGGAGTGGGTTCTGTTCCATCTGCAGAGGCGCGATCACAACGTCTTCTTCGCAGACTCATGACGGCTGTCAATTTGGGCTACCGTGGGGCCATCTTGAGACCACCTTGGGGCTTTCTTGGGCCATCCTGCACCCTCTCCTGGGCATCTTGGGTGCATCTCGGGCAATCTCGAATCCCGTGGTTGTTCTGTGGCTGCTCCGTGAATGCACCGTGGTTGTCCAGTGGTCGTTCTGTGGTTGTCTTGTGGCTCTCCCGTGGTCGTCGCGCGGTTTTGTCCCGCAGGCTGCCTCGTGGCAGGCCCGCGGTGGTCGATCGATCGTTCCGCACGGCCTCCCGCATGGTCTTCAGGGTTTCCTCCCGCACGGTCTGAGGCAAGGACAGGGGGGAAAGAGGAACACCCTTCACCACCTACCAAACCACCCCAACCCAACTCGAAGGCCTCAATTTGCCCTCCATTTCCAGTGGTTGTTGTGTGGCTGCTCCGTGAATGCACCGTGGTTGTCCAGTGGTCGTTTTGTGGTTGTCTTGTGGCTCTCCCGTGGTCGTCGCGTGGTTGTCCCGCAGGCTGACTCGTGGCAGTCCCGCAGTTGTCGATCGATACTCGAATCCCGTGGTTGTTATGTGGCTGCTCCGTGAATGCACCGTGGTTGTCCAGTGGTCGTTTCGTGGCTGTCTCGTGGCCCTCCCGTGGTCGTCGCGCGGCTGCCCCGCAGGCTGACTCGTGGCAGGCCCGCGGTGGTCGATCGATAGCTCTGCATGGCCTCCCGCATGGTCTCCAGTGCTTCCTCCCGCCTGGTCTAAGGCAAGGACAGGGGGGAAAGAGGAGCACCCTCGCCCCTATCTCCTCTCCTCCTCCTCCTCCTCCTCCCTCCTCCTCCTCTCTCCTCCTCTCCTCCTCCTCCTCCTCTCTCCTACTCCTCCCCTCCTCCTCCTCCCTCCTCCTCCTCCTCCTCCTCCTCCTCCTCCTCCTCCGCCCTCCTCCTCCTCCTCCTCATCCTCCTCCTCCTCCTCCCGCGGCGGACGGTGCCGAAGGCCTCTCTCCTCCAGGTCGCCCGAGTCGCCGACGCCATGATCGTGAGAGACGGACTGCGCCTGCCAACGAGAGTGCCAGGCTATCCATCGCAAGACTGCCTCGATGGCACGCCGGACCAAGCCCTGGACTGGCGGCCTTGGGCAAACCCAGGTCAGAGGGGCCTCCTACCCCAGGTTTCCTTTTCCAGTGCCTGGGGCTGAGTGAGAGACAAACCACGCTTCGGCCTAACCGCCTCTTGGGCCCCCAAAGAGGCCAACATCCTTCCAACACCTAGGGGAGTCAATGTTTTGGGCTTTCTCGCCTTTTCGCTCTTGGAGCCGTCTTGGGCCATCTTGGACGCCCCAACGACCCGCGGAACCCTCCGTCCAGGTCCAGGGGAGGGGGTAGGGGGAGGGGTAAACCTCTCCCCGAAGGGGAAGAAGGGGGTCGGAAGAGGACACTCTCTAGACCACCGACGCCCAGAGGGCTGATGGGATTCAATGATCGGATTGTTAAGGGTGTCCATCTGTCATGGCATCCACAAGTCTACAGCCTGCCACCCTGGCGAGGGAGGCGCGAGCTGGTTCGCTCGTGCAGCGCGCCGTTCTCGAGGCTCGCACACAGCAGGGCCCCCCCGCGCCTCGCGGAGAGCGGGCGGGGCCTGGAACGGCTAGAGGTGGAGGCGGAGGGCCAGGAGGACGATGAGCAGGAGGAGTTGCAGGACGAGGAGAAGGAGGAGGAGGGGGAGGAGGAGGAGGAGGAGGGACGAGGAGGAGGAAGGAGGAGGAGGAGGAGGGAGGAGGGAGGAGGGAGGAGGGAGGAGGGAGGAGGGATTTTTTTTTGACATCCACTATCAAAGACCCGCAGAGCGGGCAAAGTGCATCAGAGAGATAATTGTTATAAAACTCCAATGCCGTCCAAATCAACTGTGACCCCATTCCGTTTCGGATGGAGACCTCTGCTGAGTTTGGACCAAAGATCTCTTCTGCGGGATTTGTGGGCGGACCAAAGCTTGTCAGCGTGACCTCTCGCAACCTGAGGGTGGGAGGGATTCGCTGGACAGGGGTCCCCCAAACCGCGAAGCTGTCCTCCACATGTGTAGAAGAAGCACAGCTGGCAGAAGGCCACAAAACTTCCATCGCTGCAGTCTACAATGATGCAGCGGTGACCCAAATCTCTTAGAGACTGAGGCGAAACCTTGAGCTGTTGAGTGCACCTCCCTGGCGGAGGCTTCGAGACAGAACGAGAGCACTTGAGGCACTCGTTGCATTGCCAGAATTTGCCAGCCCAACCCCAGGAATGACCAGGACCCTGAACCCTGGGAGGACCAGGAGCCAGAGGGCGCTCCCAAGAGACCCCGTCCAGGTTGGTCCTGGGCCAAAGGTCCAAGAGGTGGGCGGCAAGGTTGGCGACAGCCTTGGAAACTGAGACCAAAAACGACAGACTGTCCTTGAGGCTGTCTTCAAGAGGCTGGTGAAGGTTCGCTCCTGCCTTCGCCGCCTCATCAGCAAAGTTATTACCACGAATGTTGAAACGCTCTTCCCAGGGGAGGCTGGGATCTTCGGTGAGGTGCGCCTTTACTTTGGAGACACCCTCGAGTCTACCGTCAGCGTTAGCCAGGCACTGCATCACAAGACCACTATAAGGCCTGGCGGGCGAGAGCTGCTGAGCTAAAGGCAGGGCAAATTGGTCGACCACAGCCTTACAATCAGAAAGAAATTCAACCGTGTGTTCAAGCAAGCACGAGGCGGCAGCAGGAGCGACGAATTCAGCTGCCACGCTCGTCTGAGGATATACGTTACAAACCGTGCCGTACGTACGGACGAGAATCTGACCTTGGTCATTTAGCCAGACCGCGCCCCATCCGGAGCGGGAGAGTTCACGCACGGGGTGTCTAAAGCACGATCCATCCAGGAAAACTTTGCCCCGAACCTCCCTTCGCCCCTCCGGAGGAAGAGGCAGACCAGCCTCCTCAAAAGCATCAGGAAAAAACTCATATACCACCGAATCCTGAGATTCCTGGGCCGACTGAGGGAGGGGAGCCTCAGAGGAAGGGTGAGTGAAGAGCCCAGTTTCACAAAGCACCTTAAAACCAGGGTTGACGCCTGCCTCAAGCTCCTGGCGGACGCGGCTCAACAACTGGGGCTTGATATATTCAGAACGCTCGGCCTCGCAAGAAGGGCAATACCAAAGGCGATGGATCAGCGTATCGCCCTCGGCCTGACAGAGAGGGCACTTGTCTTCAACTTGGTATCCCAGGGCCTTGGCGCGACTCAAAGGCCAGAAGCCCTGACAAGTGAGTGTTCTAATAATTCCCTTCTGCTTGGGAGTGTACTTCTTCGAATTCAAAGAGGTACACAGCACATCGAAACAAAGCCTAGAACCCTGACCATATTTGTCTCCAGCCTCACATTCAAGAGCTTTGAAAATCGCAGATTTACAGAGTCGTTTGAGGAGGGCAGGAGAGATGAGGAGGAGAGGGATTTCCACACCGCGGTCGTCGGTCAGGATGTATGGGGAACTCATGGTCCATCCCAGTCTTGCAATCGACAAGTACATGGCCCCCAAAGGCCCTTTGACAGATCTCCAGGTCCGAGGGGGATTGTTCCAAACGTTTTCCCAACCCACTCTGATCTGAGCCCAAGAAAGAGTATAATCTGTCATCCGCGTGCGCAGCAGCCATAGCTCTCTATGATAATGGATGAGAGGAGCGACTGACCCATACCAGGCAGGATCACCTTCAACCCGAGTGAGGATACATAGAGAGCGGCCGCCGCAGGATGGCTTCATCGTGGAAGCTGCTAGACGTCGTACTTGTAAAAGCTCGCCGTCAGACATGCCATGCACGTCCGCACCATATTGCAGTGCTGGAAGAGCACCTGCACAGAAAACCTTAGTTGCACGTCTGCCGATGACGCCTCGCTGACGGGCGAGCCTCCGCGTACGGCGCGTGGCAGACAGCAGGCGGGCCTTAGTCTTGGAGTTGCGTCCACGGACGCGCCTAGAAGCACCAGCAGTATGGTCATGACCGAGGTTGACAGCCGTCTCGAGGTGGGGGCCCACGAGATCTCCGAAGGCCTCCTGGAGCCTACTGGAAATAACCTTACTGCTGGTAACCATGCCAACTTTGTCAAGAGCAATGTGAGCCTTCATAGAGTGAGAGATCGCATGTTCGAGCTGGCTAGCCGCGCTGCGCATGTCAGCGACCAAAGGCTCAAGCTTGCCAACTCCATCGAGGCTGGTGTCATCGATGTAAACATCGAGGGTGACCGAGGGG